TTTTGGTACCAAAATAGTTGCAACCACTTCCGAACTAAACTTAACCGGTTCTACCTACTACAGTAGTGCAATTACGATGTAACACATTAATTCAGCGCTTTTTTGTGGGGGGATCAAAATATCGCTATTTTGACCCCAAAAAACCGGTCTGTTTTCTTCGTTTTTTCACTGAAAAACGAAATAGGAGTATTAATATGGGCTATATAAGTAATAATATAATACTCTACCCCTCCGGGTTTGTTCAATATCCGAATTAAGGTGCTTAACTTGGATATTCGCAGTTCGGTGAAGGGTCACTACAGTGCAGCACTGTCGAGCCCCCCACAGATCAGTATCTTAATTTTTTTTGTACCAAAAGGGATACAAAACTTGTTAACGATACCCAACAGTCGATTGTTGTTGTCGTTGAGCCCCTCCTTGTTGCTCCTTGTACCACTTGCCGGATCAGTCTTCTCCCAAGACCCCTCCGGAATGAGCGCAAATCAGCAGACCCTTCCGGATTGAGCGCAAATTAGCATTAACGTGTTTAAATACTCAAATAACCCTACAGTACAAGCCTCACAAACGGGCCACAAAATTGATAGTAACGATCCTGACTGATATAAATGCCTGTAACAACAAGGTATCTATCAACACAAACGGGTCGGATCACATCTTGTCTGGGGGGATGATTTCTACTGATTTTTTACTTTTTTTTTTTACTGTTTTTGGTTTTTTCGGTTATTTTTTTATGTTTTTTGTTTTTCTTGGGTACTATACTACTTTTTGTTTGGTTTTACATATATCTTTAAGTGTTTTTGGTCACAAACTTCTCAGGGAACGAGGGGATGGCCGATCCCCCACCCTTCCTGGTTCGTGAATTTTCGGTCTTAACTAGGTTAAAAAGCTATTCACGGTAATCCGGAAGGCTTCCGCGTTCCGAACTACTCTTCCACCCCGGCGGTTTTGGCCTATTAAGGGCGTTAATGTGAGCATCCGCTCGGCGCAGAGTCCTCGTTAACGGTTCTGCCGGTCATGATGTTAAAAAAGAATAACACCCAGGAGCGCTTTAAAAACATCTATGTAACATTCGCCCGGAAGTAAATATCGACGGAAAATAAAGCTAGGTTCTAAGACGACTGGCCAACGTCTAAACAGAGCTCTACATGCTGTTCACCGTCTCTACCAAAGCCAGTTCTTTTGGTGGTCTTTCTAACATCGGGTCGACAAAAACGTTACTGCTTCCGGCTTCAGTCAAAACACTCAGATTAACTTAATTACATGCAGAAATAGTGATTTTAGTGATTACAATGATTTTTGAGATTTTAGAGTGATCTGAGACGATTAAGAACACCAAAACTTGGTATTGATCAATACCAGGAACCTATTAATTGTTGTGATAATTTTATTAAATAGATTTGTTATGTTTGATGTTTGTGCCTGTATGGGGAGCGCCCTCTGAGGGATTTTAGAGACAGGTCTGTCAAGTGGCTTTCTGTGGGGAGGTGGGAAACTGGAACTGGCTTGAGGAGTCTGGTGGTGCGCCGCTGGACCTACTGAGCTCGGGTGAGATTGTTCCTTATTTTTGATTTTTATAATTCGATTTTAAAATTTAAATTAATTTAGTTGTCTTTTTTTTTATTTGCTGATTTGTAAAATTCCCACTAACCGCTTATCATGGGTTAGTTCAGTCCCCTAAAGTCCAGTCAAAATCCTTTTTTTTTAACCTTTATGCTGCGTCAATATGAGGAAAAACAACAAAGAGTGTACAAGCAAAGATTGCTTAAAATCTTCAGGACTGATAAATTGGATTAGATGTGATTGTTGTTCTAGTTGGTATCATTTCAGTTGTGTAAAAATTTCTCTTAGCGACTTTAGGAAAATTCAATGGTTTCAGTGTCTTTTATGCATTGATGTAAAATCTGTTAATAAAGCAACAATAGGTAATGATTTAGTGCTAGACAATTATGTTAATACAGCCATCTCAAATGTCCGAGTACTCAAGAGAGTACCAAAAGAATCGCGTGTTCCCTTGGCGGAAAGTCTGTCGGACAAAATAAATGACATCGTCTACAATGTTGAAGATGTTACAAAATGGCTAATTTTTTTAACGTCGTTCTTGTTTTTTTTTTGGAGCAACCGAAAAGAAGTGGACGCAAACAGACCACAAGCATGAGTTCTTTGATAAATAAGAAAATTCGAGCAAATGACGTGTCACTTCCAAAACTCCATCCCCAAGTTTCAAGCCCGACTCTGAGTGACCTCGAGCAGAGAATAAAGTTAATAAGTAGTAAGCTCGATGAAGGAAATGTAAAGGGAGGAATAAGGCTTGCTGCTTAAGATGACAAAATAGCTCCTTTTTCAACTGATAACTATCAAAAATTGTTGTCTAAGCATCCGCAGCGAGCCAAATTTGCAGCTCCAAATCCAGAAAAGTTGGATAGTTTTTTCGTAACCGATTTCGACCTATACAAAGCGATAATGTCCTTTCCAAACGGATCAGCAGCAGGTCCTGATAAAATAGTTCCTCAAACTTTTAAAGATCTTGTTAGTAAGTCGAATGGCAGTGCAGGACTTAATTTTCTGAAATCGCTTACTAAGCTGATAAACCTCAATGGAGATGGCAAAATACCCGAACCACTAAGACCTTTCTTTTTTGGCGCAAAGCTTATCGCCCTCATAAAGATAGACGGAGGGTTGAGAGCGATTGCCATAGGCAACACGCTGAGACGTATCGCGTCTAAATGCGCTGGAAGCAAGGCCCTCTCCGAGCGACAAAATTTTTTCCGAAACGTACAGGTAGGATGCGGTACCAAACGGGGAGCAGAAATAGCTGCGCACTCGTTTCGAAACCTAATTGAACGCGACGACAATCCAAAATGCACTGTTCTTTTAAAACTAGATTTTAAGAATGCCTTTAACTCTTTAAACAGAGAAACAATGCTGAATCATGTTTATTCAAATCGCCCTGAATTGTATAATTACACCCATTGCGCGTATGGTAAACCAAGTTACCTTTTTTTACGGAAGCTCTGTCATAATGTCAGAAGACGGAATTCAGCAAGGTGATCCTGAAGCCCCACCCCTTTTTGCGGAAACAATTCATACACTAGTCAAACAGTTGGAGTCGAAAATTAACATCTGGTATTTAGATGATGGGAATTTAGCCGACGACTATAAGGTAGTACTCCGGGACCTCAAAAACATTCTGAAATCGGAACAAATTTACGGCCTGAGCTTAAACACTGAGAAGTGTGAACTTTGTTTTTTTGGGACCGACTACTAGTACACAGTATAATTCAATTTTAACACAATTTCGAAAAATATGCCCCAAAATAAACATAAAAACAAAAAAAGAACTCCTCATTTTAGGATCTCCAATCGGCGAACTTTGCCGAAAAGAATTGCTCGACGAAAAAATTAAGGAGCTTGAAAAAATCTCGGATGTCATTGACAAACTAGACGCCCATTATGGTTTTTACCTCCTGAAAAATTGCTTTAGCATGCCAAAACTCCTATATTTTTTGCGTACGAGTCCTTGTTTTTTGCACAATGATTTTTTGGAACGTTACGATAAATTACTGAGAAATTCGTTATGCAAGAAAATGGATGATAACCAGTTTTTACAAGCAGTTCTCCCGGCAGCCAAAGGTGGCTTGGGCTTTTCTTCCGCTCGTCTACTCGCTTTACCCGCTTTCTCAGCCTCAGCAGTAGGAGCAAAAGATGCCTTGAGCGAAATGTTTGGTTTGGAGCATGTGGATGGAACCTATGATGATGCGCTTAAACGGTGGTTTGACCTTGGAAAAATTGAAAAGGCTCCGGAAAATGAAATCCAAAAAAATTGGACGGAGCCAATTTTTGACAGCAAAATTGCAGACTTGATTTTACGACTCGAACCAATGGACGTAAAAAGGTTCAACGCGTTCCAAGATAGATTTGGCTACCAATGGTTGAACGTCATCCCGTGCAAAAATTTAAAATTAAAACTGTCGAACCAACAACTCAGAATTGCGATAGGACTTCGATTAGGATAAAAATATGCGAACAGCATAAATGCGTGTGCGGAAAAGACGTTACCGAGGATGGTTGACATGGTCTTTCTTGCCTCAAAAGTGCAGGGAGATTCTCTAGGCATTCAAACCTGAATGCCCTTATAAAGCAGAGTCTATCATCTACTCACATTCCGTCTGTTTTAGAACCACGACACCTCTACAGGACCGATCAGAAGCGACCAGATGGTTTGACGCTCGTTCCATGGGCTGATGGTAAGCAGCTCTTGTGGGATGTAACGGTAGTAGACTCCTTAGCTCCTTGTAGGATTAATGCCGGGTCTGTTTGTAACCCTGGTACGGCTGCCGCTGAAGCGGAAGAGCGAAAAATTGACAAGTATAAAGATCTTGTAATTGATGGATATCTTTTCCAACCGCTAGCTTTTGAAATTCATGGCGCGGCACAGAAGTTTTTTTGAGCAAGCTTTGTAAGAACCTAAGCATATGCACTGAGGAACCCAGAGCAGGCAGCTTTTTAAAACAGAGGATCTCCCTGGCAATACAGATTGCGAACGCCGCTTGCGTACTCGGAACAATAAATGACAAAATAACTTTCGACGAAATTTTTTTACTTGTAACACTTGTATATTATATTATCTCGTGTCGAGTTGCGTGTTCTTATTGAAGAAACGTAACCCGTATCGATTTTAATTGAAAAGGACTTAAACACTTGTCATCTTCTTTTATCATTATCACTTCCATATCTAAAAAATTCCAAGGATTTTGACTGGAATACATGATAAAGGGACTCATGACTGTAACCTCGGTTACTATGATACTTTTGACCTTCTGATTACCATTAATACCAATACCAATACCTGATTCTGTCAATACCAATACCAATTTTTCACGGTATTGAATTCCCTGGCATATATTAAGATTTGATCATTTGTTATCGTAAGGTGAACTTTTGCATCTTGTGCTTTGACTAATTGTTACCTGCCAGTACGCCTTGGATTTCATTTAAGATTTTCAATGCCCCGGGTCCAGCAGCCAGCGATTAACAGTCATTTCAAGGAATGTCGCAGATCTAAGAGAAATTTGAAAGGAAAAGATGGAAACGTCTCTGAGGAGGTTGAGCGAGCTGGTGTAGAAATTGTGTGTGACCCCTTGGTTGATCTGCAGGAAAAGCCATCCAGAAATGTCACGTCCAGAAAAAATGTCAAATCCAAGGCAGCTGAAATTGTAAACCAAGGGCTTCTTAATTTTTCACCGAAATACGATGGTAAGAAGTTAGGCGAAAAGAAAGGCCTCGAGACTGGGAAAGAGGTCTCTGAGACCTTAACGGCGGATTCAGAGAAAAATCCAGATTTAGACTGTCCAGAAAAAAAGATAGCACCCAAAGAAAAATTAGGAACTGAGAACGTCAAGTCTGAAGATTCTTCCAGAGAAGAAAGGTTCAGTAATAAAATTTCACACGATGCGAAAACTACATGTGGGAAATTCCAGAAACCTAAAAGCCGATCAGCAAAAATGCTGGCCAGCCTAAATATGATTGAAATCAATACTAAGGTTAGTGAGGTTTTGGAGCCCAAAAGAAACAGTTTAGTTGTCGAACGCTCGAGTGGTGGAGCTGAAATCCTAAGCAATATCGAGATGAGTCAACTGCGAAGTCCCACGAAACGCAAGCAACAACCGCTCGATGAATCCGATAAGTCGGGCATTCAAGCAACACAAGAGAGCCCAAGAAAATTACTAAAACCTTCAAATAAGGACTTATTTCCTGTATGTCCGACCTTACCATTACCTGCCAAGTACGAGTTGTTGGTTGAGAAGTTTACTGCCCTTGAAACTTCAGCTCAGATGTTATACAATCGTAAGGAGCGTTGTGAGTTTGATAAGTTAATTACTGCTGTTGAACAAATTACGGAGAGAAACTTCATGCTATCCGATTTGACGAAAATCATGTATGTATTACCTGACGCCTATGAAGTCAGTTGGGAAAAGAAATACAAGTGTATGATGACTAAGTCGTTCTCTTGGGCTCTTACATTGAGTCCCAAGTTTAGTGAACTCAAAGAGCAATTTGTTGCATCAGATATGCTTGCCAGAAAATCGAAGTTCCTTCGGAACCTTATTGACCTTGTGCATACAGAACACAACCAGTATCTGAAAAGTTTGAATCCAAAACTGGTGATTGATAACACGAAGATCAAACGATGGCATCCCAAATTCGCTTTGGAGAAAGTGGTAGACGTGAAAGAAGCTGAGTTACCTCCTAAACCGACAACAGCGCAACCGAGACAAGGTTTAAACGAACTAATTCTGAAGACAAAGGAGAAAGCGACTGAGAAAATGGAGTCAGCGCTGGCGAAAATTGAAGCAATGTCTCCCAAAGCTTGTAAATCATCGTCTCCAAGAGATAATAAATTTTTCAATTTTCCTGGCAGCTCAGGAATTCCCGAAAAGCTGAGACTAAAAGTTCAAGCCAAGGAGGTAGTCAAGGCTCAAGAGCAATTTCTGATGCCACTAGCGGAAAAGGAAAAGCGAGCATTGCAGGCTAAGCTTCCCGAGGTAGCCAAGATTATAAGAGGAGTATTCCTGGCCGACAAGAGAGTAGCAATTCCAGAGGCTGAAATTTTTGGTAAGTTGAGAAGCGGAGTAAGTGGTGGCATGTCACATGACCATGGAAAAACGAGCCTCGAGGATATTAAGAAATTTTGCCCCGAATGGATTTCTATTGTGACTGTTCAAGGGAAAAATTATGTGAAAGTGACGAAGTCTTACAACTTTGCGACTGTTCTGTCCAAAATTCAATCATCAATTCAGTGATTAGAAATTGTTAATTTAGTATTTTGACAAGAGTGCCTTCGGTGATATGCCTTAGTAATGTCATTTTTTATCTTTTTTTTTTAGTTTTTGAAAATTGTCCTTTGGCACAAAATGAGCTTCTCTTTTGTTTTTTGAAGCCTCATAAAATTACTTTCAAGTTTATGAAAAGCTTGCCATGAGTGTCTTGATTAATTTGACAATTTGTTTTGGTAAAATGTTGTTATTAGTAAATCTGTAGCGTGATTAGTGAAAGAAAAAGGTTCAGCATGAAAGTTTTTAAAAGTCAAATGAGGTCAGCATCCGGGTAGTGGCTGCTCATTTTGGCTTCTTTTGTTATCTTTGTTTGAATCGGTTGTTGTTTTCAGGTTTCAATGGTTAAGCATATAGTTTAGTCTATTTATCCGAGATCTGCAAATATTATCAAATAGAATATACAGAGGAAAGCTCAATCGTGTCTACATTATCCCTCTTCTCTCGTCCCCACCCTCTCCCCTACCTCCTTTTCCCACCTCCCCCTTGTTGCCATGGCATCAGACATGCCCCCCTTTCCTCCTAGAGGGCAGAACCCTCCGCCCACCCTCTCCAATGCCCTCAACAATCACGCTTCATCTCCAACAGACCCGACGGCCTCCGGGGACAAGACGGCTGGCGGGGGAGGGGGTAATATCCCGATTACTCTGGAGGAGTTTCTGAAAGTGGGCTCTGTGATGAAGGCAACGACTGTTCATGGGGTGGTTCATCAGGGGGAAATCTTGGCTGTGGACAACAAGACAAAGTTGGCGTTCATGGGTGAGATAAACATGGGTGTTGTTACTCTAAAGAAAAATAAATCCTCAATTTACAACTGTTTTGCGTTGTGCTATCAGGCTGTTATTTTGTTGATCTTTTCGAATGGTTTATGCTGACTGGTCTTCTTGTTTTACTGCAGAGTTTTCTTTAATCTTTGGATGTGTTAAATTTTAAAAATGTATGTAAATTTTCTGTACTGCGTGTAAAATGTTGCTTTTTGAAATTTCAGCTGTTCCCTGTGGCACGGGAAATGGCAAGACGTCCAGTGGGGATTCGGCAAAACACAACATAGTCATGTTGAACCTGAACACGTTGCAGGCTCTGGACAACATCAAAGAGCCGCCTCAGGACTCCAACGACGCCCTAGCACAGCTTACATCATGCAGACCGCAAGATGTAATCTTATGTTTTTTTTTTATTATTTCACACCACGGATTAGAAACCATTTTTTCCAATCATTAGTGGAAAAGGGTAGATAACGTTTTAATTTTGAGGATCTAGATTATTTTCAAGGCTCTCCGTGAGCTCAAAAAAGACCGGATTGTTAATTTTTATTGTCAAAAGTTATCGTTTTTAGGTCGAACAAATTGATTTCCGATATTTCGTAAAGCAATAAAGTCTCTATTATACCTAAATTTTAGTGCTGTTTTTTTAAAATAAAAAAGTGTGACAAAATAGGTGGGCACCGTGTTTGTGATTAACTTCGGATGTGACTTGTGTGTTATGACGTGTTTTGTTTCGTGCAGGCGGAGGATCGACTGCGGCTGAGTGTTGCGGGAAAGAAGAAGCGAGTGGAGAGTGTGGGAGTGGGAGTGAGTCCACAGGCACAGACTCTCTTCGACAAGCTAAGCATGCAGTCAGTTATTCGAATTTTTTTTATTTATCCAACTTAAGAATAGAAGAAAGATCAATATAAACATGATAATTAAGTCTGAGTAGCGCACATTTTTTTGACGCAAAAATTAGTTTCAAAGCACCTCAAATCAAGACTGAATGAGCTAACTGATTCAACTATAACAGCTTATTACGCTTGCAATTAGCAAGCGTTATCAAATCGGAATATAAACTTTTTTTTTCGGGTTAACAACTTGTTTAACAGAATTATTTGTATCTTGTTTCATAATGAATTCAAATTTATGCGTGTCCGTCTCTTCGCCTGGAGGTGAAGAATACCTGGGATTCCCAAGATCGTCGGATCGAATCTGATCAGGAACTTTTTTCTAACTGGAAATATTCCTTTGCAAAAAAATGTCGCCCTATAGTTTAAATTTAGTTTTTGACTGAAGTTCCGCTGGATAGTTACTTGTCAGTTTGAAGTTAAATATAATTTGGTTTTGCAAGTGGTACGGAGTACTGCTTAGCCTGTGTTTCCATCTCGATATTCAACAGTCTGCTTGAATGTTGTTGTTGTTGTTGTAGTGGATTTACAGCACAAGGCTGATGGGTGTTGCTCCCTTTCCGTTTTTATTAGAAGATTGTCCACTTATTTCTGCATTGGTTGCAATCGCACGCAAGTTGCCAAGTGCAAATATTGTTTTCGTTGTACTTTTCATCCATGAAATTCCACATCAGTTGTAGGATTCGGTTCTTGAGTCCAGTTTTGTTTGTGAAATCAACGTGTTTGTCAATTCTGTTTGCAATTCGACTGGTACGTATTGTGAATTCCCCTCGCGCATTCTCTGTTCTGATTTTGGCACTCTTAAAGACGTCCTTAGTTCTGAGATTTGTCTGCAGGCACTGTGATAGACGTGGAAACACATCAGTTCGTCCATCAAGGCTAGAGAGTAGCAGTAGGTCCGTGAGTTGTAAGTACATTGGTAGTGGGAGCACATTTAGTGCTCGCAGCTGGTTAACATAGTATGTATCCGGGCTTGATACTGTCCATTTTGTGACTTTCTTTTGGAAGCGCTCCAGGCGTACAAGATCTCCTCGGCTAAGATTTGTACATGAAAGTCCATATATCAGAATTGGAATAAGAAGAGACTTATATAGGCCTAATTTGACTAAAGGTAGTGTTTTATAAGCTATATTACGTCTAATCAAGTAAAATGATTTATTAGCTTTGGTCAGTCTCATATCAATATGTTTATTCCAGGATAATTTATAGTCCACTATAAGTCCAAGATCTTTCGCTTCTGTAGAGGATTCAAGTTTTGATCCGGAAAGCTGCAGATCGTGTGGTCTGCCTCTGAACACCAATTGTGAGCATTTATCGAGAGCCAGCGCCATCTTGTTCTCCTTGACCCAGTCATCAATGGACTTCAAGTCCTGTTGCACTTTGATTAGGTCTGTGTTGACTGTCAGAAGTTTCAGATTGTCAGCGTATATGTACGGGTCAGAGAATTTCAGTCGGTCCGGGAGGTCAATGATGAAAATGCAGAACAGAAGTGGGCCCAGGAGGGATCCCTGTGGGACACCACTCGTCACATCTAGAGTCACTGAAGAAGTTTTCTCAACTTTTACATATTGTTTTCGTCCATTTAGATAATCACAAAGAATTTCCAGCAGGCATCCTCCTACACCAATATTTGCGGTCTTTTTCAGCAATTCAAGATGCGGCACCTTGTCAAAAGCTTTTAAGAAGTCCATATAATAAGCGACAACGTCATCTGTTGGGTTTTCGTCCAGTCCTCTGTAAATTTTACTCAGGAATGATAGCATATTCGTGGCCACTGATTTCCCTTTGACAAAACCATGTTGATGTTTTGAAAGGACACGTTCAAAAAGCGAGTAGAGAGGTCCGTAGATGCATTTCTCTAAGATTTTGCTGTCTATGTTGAGTAGTGAAATTGGACGCCAATTTTCCACATTACGTCTGTCTCCTTTTTTGAATATTGGGGAGATCGCTGCCGTCTTCCAGCAACTAGGTATTTTTCTCAATCTCTTGATGTTCTTGAAAATTACCTGCAAGGCATTTGCCATGTTGGTGGCTGTTTGTTGGAAGAAAATTGGAGGCAGGCCGTTGGGTCCTCTAGACTTGGTAACGTCAATGGTCATCAAGATTTCTGTTATAGTTGTATGAGATATGCTGAAATTTGTGATCTGTGGATTGTCACATTCAACGTCTTTAATGTTAAACTTTATTTTTTGCGAGAATACTGAGTGAAAAAATTCGTTGAGCAGATTCACCTTTTCTTCCAGGCTGGAAACAGTGGTGTTATCGCTTATCATTATTTTTGGCAGTGATGCAGATTTGTTGAGACTTTTCAGGTGCTTGTAAATGATATCTGTGTTTCTTGTACTCAGAAGTTTGTTCTGATAGTTTAATCGATCATTTTCACTGGACTGGATTACTACATTTTCCATTAGTGCAACTTGATGTTTGCGGTAGCTTGTTGGTTTCGAAATGAGTAGTTTTTTTTGGGTGTTAAGCTTTTTCATGAGGTTTGATGTGCTTTGGGTTATCCATGATGGTAACTGCTGTCGATGCGCAGTTCTTCGAGGCACATAGATTTCTAACAAATTTTCAAAGTAATCATATAGCTCTTGGCAGGTTTTATCTATATTTGTGTAGCATATTGGATTGAAAACTTTATCAGCCATAGCGTTGTTTATACCTTCGAAGTCAGCTTTACCGAAGCTTCTATATTTGTCAATGAACGGTTTGGCTTCTTGGTGTTCTATTTCGACGTTGAGGTTTATTGATTGATGATCTGATCAGTCATATTGTTTATCAAAGAATTCATCCCTTTGAGCATGTACGAGACAATTTCTATGGAAGACTACATCCAACAAGTTTTTTCCGCATGTAGAGAAGTTAACTGTTTGTCTGAAGAGTTTTGCGTCAAAGGCATCAACTACCTCCTGTTTCTCTTCACTGGCACTTGTTAGGGACGGCCAATTTGTTTCTGGGAAGTTGATGTCACCACAAACGATAAGGGATGACGAGGTTGGAAAGGCATTCAATATTTTGTTAAAATCTTCAGACAAGTACCTGTAGGGACTTGATTTAGGGGGGTTATAAAAGACACAGAATATCAACTCCTGGCCGGATATATCAATTTTGCATGAAACACAGCTGTCAGGCAGATCTACAGTAAGTTTTTGACATGCGAATGTATTCTTTACAGCAATGAGACTGCCGCCGTGTTTGTTTGTATCATTCACTCTTTCTCTGTCTGATCTATAGATATTGTAATCATGTAGCATTAATTCAGAGGATTCTATTTGATTATTTAGCCAGGTTTCACAAATGCAGATTATACTGTAATTACCAGATGTAACAGCAGTAGAGAGTTTGGCTCGACGTTCGAAGTTTATGAGACTTCTGGCATTTATTTGAAGTACGCTTAGAAAGGCCCCTAGTCACGGGCCGCTTTCATTGAGCTCTACTTTTACGTTGTCATTGAACAACTCCAAGTTTCTTATCCGTAACTTCTCTTTTGGAACGCCTTCAGTTATAAGTTCACGTCGCTTTTTGAGGATTTGATTTTCTTTAGCTGCGTCCTCCTTGGTCAGGGCAGGTGAGAGAAAGACTTTCCTTTCAGACAATTGGGTCCTTTTTTCTAAACTTTTCGCCAGAACTAATCTTGCCTCATGATGGTTGGCCACGGTCAACAGAAGGGTTCTGGGTTTCGTTCGCTTTTCATCGAACTTTCCCAGGCGTTTCATTTCAACGATGTTTGGTTGTTCATCAACAATCTCTAGAATCTTCTTGACTTCCTCGTTTGTTGGGACAAGGTTCTCAGCTTTCGATTTCTGGGGATCTTCGGCAATCCCCTGTATTCGGATGCATTGATTGATGTTGTGATTTGTTCGATTTTGCTGTTCTTTTGGTACAGCATTCTTGTTGTTTCCTGTCAGAACAGTACTATATGTCTTTTCCACTTTCTCACAGGTGTTCCTCAGTGCTTCGTCAACTTTCTTCTCAACGATTTGAGTTAATCTGTTTTCCATGTTTTGAAGTTTTTCATTTATATCTAATTCTTCCAGCTTTTCGGTCAGTTTGCTTTGTGTGAAGTTCCGAATGAACCGATCACGTACATTGTTTTCATGGCATGACGAACATAGCAGCATTGCCAGCGTTCCTAAATCTTTAATACCATTCACTACAACTGGTGTTAAGCCTGTGCAGCTAGTGGTCAGATGAAGGTTAGCGCTACAAGCTACGCATTGGTAAACAGGATCTTTCGGACCAATTTTCTGCTTACATGACTTACAGTTTTTAGTCATGGTATTCCTTACCTGGACTCTGAGTCAGAGACTCGAGGAGTACACAAGATTTGGAAGTATTAAGAGTTGCCTTGGACTCTGAGTCAGGGACTCGAGGAGTACACAAGTTATGATTTTGGACTTAAGATTTATGGACTAGGGTTTCCCTTGGACTCTGAGTCAGAGGACTCAAGGAGTACACAAGATTTGGAAAGATGGACTTACAGTTATGGACTTAATATTTCCCTTGGACTCTGAGTCAGGGACTCGAGGAGTACACAAGGTTTGAAAAGACCGACTTTTAAAACAGGGGTACTGACCTATTGCTCGTTTTGTTTTGCTCGCCTTCTGCTCTTTGAAGGTTTCGGTTGTTTCGATCTCTGCTGTAGGATGAGATTGAGTCTTGGGTAATAGTGAAGAACTACAGCTAATGACCGGAGTTCTTGATCGTGCGATTGATGTAGCTTCTTGTACTTCGCTTTTATGGTGTTGTTTATTTGCTCTGTCTTTGTGAGAATATGTTTCGTTACGTCAATGACTGTGATGTTCAGTTCTAGCAGATGCTCGAATATATTTGTTGCTCCCCACCTATGGCAGTAGATGATAGCGTACAAATTGGGAATTGATCTCAGAACAGAGATCAGTTCTGCCGGTGAGAGTGGTTCCCCGTCGTTGTTCTTATGATCGGTGATCGAGTTGTTAATTAGATCGTGCCACAGGACAATGTTCTTGTTGCAGTTTCGTGGGAGATTGATGAAGTTGATCGCCTTTTTGTCGTAGAAGATGTTGCGGAAATTGAGACCAGAGTACGCGTAGACCTCTTTCCTCACTTCTCTATTTTCGTCTTCGTCCAAAGAATCAATTGCTTGGGCTAGGGAGCTGGCTCCAACAATTTGCAACATCAGGTGATGATAATATTTGAGACAAGAGGCAACCACGGCTACCTCGAAATTCAATACTTATCTGAAACTATTTAATGTGGAGTTAGCTTTTTGCAAAGGGTTTATTTTGATGACCTTTTTTTTAATTTTTAGGTCGACCAAATTGATTTTTCGAGCTCTCCCAAAGCACGGTTTTGTCCCTATTTTGGCCAAATTTTTTGCGCCGCAGGCAAAATTTTGAAAAAACAGGTCAAAAAAGGCGTTTTTATGCACTTTTTGGAAAATTTTGACCGAAAAATTGCGTTTTTTCGGCGCTCGCTCCCCCCTCAAAATTAGTATATATTGGCGCCAAAGGCGCCTTTAGAAAATTTTTAGGGTCGGTCGGCCAAAAATGGATTTCTTAAAAAGTATCAAAGGGGGACCCTTTGGGTCGGCAGGGGGTCGAATCCCTGAGGGGGGGGGGGGGGGGCATCCGCCCCCTTGCCCCCCCCCCCTAAATCCGCCCCTGGTTTATTGCATGTTGTACTATTTTTCGAAGAATCCTTTAGTCATTTATACAGAGAAGCAAATTCTTTGTTGTCTTCAATCGGAAAAAGTTCGGGAAGCCCAATACGTTTTTAATTAACTAACTGACTATCACAGTAACATATACTAAATCTTAGGACTCTTATATGTACTTTAATTAGAGGAGAGAGTAGAAATTGTGGCAATTAGGAGAATTGGTTTGAATTTTTACGCTATGTAAACCGGGAAGCAGTTCATTACTCAGTGAGTTAAATAATATTTACCACGCTTAGTTAATTTGTGGCCTTGAGTGGCAACAAAGAGCTTCGCTCAATAAAATAACTCTGGAATGTGGAAAAAATACACATGTGCTATGATTAGACACTGCGAATCGCAAAAACCTCAATTATTTGATAGGAAATCGCTGTGAAAGTAGGCAATTAACGATTCAATAAACGTACCATTTGTGAAAAGCATTATTTGCTTGAGTGTTTAGCTAACCAATTATTACTTCCAATTATGATAGAGTGATTTCCCTATAGACGCAATATATGTCTTGACGCTAAATTCATGCTCAACGCCCTTAAATGTTAGCATAATTGGAGAACAGTTGCGGTCATCAAAGTCAGAATGAATCATTTGAAAAGTATCTACATTTGTGACATCGGGAAAATAATCAGACAATTAGGCAGTAAGGAAAATCATGAAGATTTGAGTAATGCACATTATGTTTTTCGATATATTTGTGTATTTAAGCACTATTTGTTTCAAAAAATGAAAATTGAAAAATATTGTAAGGTTGTTGCCTTGTTTGACCACATCATTTTTTCGTTCATACAACAAGAACAACAATTAAAAGCCAGATGTGGCTGAGTGTTGAATCATATCGAAGCCTTTTAGACGTGATTCAAGCTGTATAAAAAAGAATGGTTTTCCACTAGAGTATTTACGGTCTTTCGAGTGAAATTAATTTCTTAACGCTCCTTCTGCTATCCAAAAACAATAAGTCTAATTTGTTTTGATTTTTTTCTATTTTCCAAAATTAATTCCTGGTCGCAAAAATTGTCCTCTCACCAAAAGCAATGTGTCTTAGTTTGTGCTAATTTCTCCTTTTTTCCAAAGTTAGTTCCTTAACCCGATAAACGTCTGCTAATCAAACAATTATCAGTCGTATTTTTTGCTTATTGTTTCTCCAAGTTTCCAAAGTTTATTCCTTGTCCCGAAAAACATCTACCTTAAAACAATGAGTCAGTTTTCTATTTTTTTTTCCAATTTTCCGATTTTTTAGCTACATTTTGCTAAAATCGCTGGTCGAAAAAATAGCTTTAATTAGTTTTCCGAAGCTTTTGAAAAATGCAGTTTTTAGTTTTTACTCAATCGTTTTTTCCAGTTCAATGATTTTAACATAGTACCCGAAAGATATTGTTCTGATCACAGATTTAGAAAGATAATTCTCCTATGTTTTTATGTTGTGGGGTTTGAAATATTGTAATTTGGGGCAATTAACGCGTGATATATTTTGCGCTATTAACGCGTAAACGGATGTTTAAACTATCCTTAAAAATCGTTCCAAATTGGTTAAAGCAGGCTATTTGCCATAATTGCTGCGTTACAAAGAGCCAAGTCTATGACTTGGTTTTTTATATGATGTGAGGTTGGATGGCTTTTAAAATTTTTCAATTTTTTTTTTTGAAATTTTCGATTTTCTTCAAGTGAACAATGATCCATAGACCTGTAAAGGCAGTTGGATTTTTCTATTGAACAACAAATAAGTAAAAGGTCACGAGAAACGTGATCGACTTCTAGTTTCAAAAGTGGATTTTAGTTATCGGATTTCATAGCGGAATATAAAATTTACCAATCGATCCAATTTTCTCAAATTGAGTTATTTTTTTTTGAAAAAAGTCAATCATAAATTATTCTTGAAATTCATATTGCTAGCAATTCACTTAGGCCATCAGTTTTTTTCTTCGAAATATGAAAGATAGATTTAAAAAAGAAATAAGTTTTTTTTTGGTTTCGTACGTTTGTTTACTCTTTTACAAGTGTCTGTTGGCTAGCTTTTAATTTGTTGAAGTTATCAAATTGTGTTTTGTGAAGAAAATCTATTGAAAGGTGTATTTTTAATAGCGGAAACACTTTCGAAGTTTTTTTTAATCCTTTGTTTTTTAGATTTTCTTTATTTTTATTGAAATTTGTTTTCAGAGTTTGCGCGGATTTTCTGTTCAGGCTTGCTAAGACTTTTTTTCTGGTGCAGATATCCGTGCTTCAAGAAATTATGAGGAATTTGTTTTGTTTGAATGACATTTTTGAACAATGTGTTTTACTGGTCACTTCCTTCTCCTTCGGTAGAAACAACCTAGTGTGTAGAACTATTCGAATTCGATTTTTTTTGCATTTGACTAGCTCTTTGTCCTATTTGAAGCTTTTTGATGACCTTTTTAAGAGTAATAAAAGCAGTAGATTGCAATTTTGGCCAAAGTGGGACAATTAACGTGCGATATATTTGGCGCTATTAAAGCGTAAGCGGAGATTTAATCTGTCGTAGAAATCAATCCTAATTGGTTTAACGCGTAAGCGGAGATTTAATCTGTCGTAGAAATCAATCCTAATTGGTTTTAGGGAAGCTTATTTACCATAATTGATTTGTTACTACTAGCGAAATTTATCACGTTGTAGTTTATATGGCGTGTGGGGTGATGATTTTCAAAAAATATCAAATTGAAAAAAAAAAATCATTTTATTTCAACATTTAATTTTTTCATGTTATTTTTGCTCCAGAGACCTTAAAAGGCAGTCAGAGCATTCACGGCTTTGCCCTGATACGATCAGTTTTGTATAACAAATAGCATTTTAGCTTGAAGGTATCATGGATCTGTAGCGTTGAGATAGGGAGAAGACCCGCAACAAAATAAGAGGGTTCGAACCTGGACAGGGTCGGATGTTTTATATGAACTTTTTGTATACTAGCTTAAATGCGTCCGCTCTATAAATTGAGGCATGTGCAATTGATAAATTTCTTTCTTTTTCATATTGAATGGTACTACTAATGCGTCGTGATTGGCTTGCGTCACTTAAGAAATTTTTTAGACTCAAAGTTTTACTCATTCAGCTTTTACGAGTATCGTTATCGGTCATATTTTTGCTTATGTATGCGAAGTACAACTTCGCCTCTGTGTTAAAGGAAGGCAAAATACAATATCGAACAGCAAAAAATTTAAAGTCACGAAAAACGTGATGGACTTCTAATTTCGAATATGGAATTAAATTGTCAGATTTCCCAGCCAAATACAAAATTCAGCTATTGATCCATTTTTCTCAAATTAGATTAATTTAATCCAAAAATTGTTACTCATAAAATGATTATTTTTAAATTCAAAGAGCCGTAAGGCCTAATATTTTTTTTCTTTGAAATTCGAAAGTTGAGGTTTGTTTAAAAAACAAGTCGTTTTTTTGTTTACTTGCTTTCTCTTTTTCAATTTACTCTTTTCCAAGTGTCAGTTATCTATGTTTTGGTTTGAAAGTTTTTTCAGAATTTTTGTGGTTTACTCTTGGTCTGCTCTTGAATAGGCTGCAGTTTTGGGTGATTTGTTACAATAGGTGGTGATTTTGAGCATAGTGTGTGTATTAAATTTGAGAACTATAATGCATAATATAGTCATTTCATTTTCAAATTTTTTTCTTATTTTTATAAATATTCAACGTAAATGGGCAGACACTTGGTGGATTCGAAGATCCCGTTGTTTGTCCTATCCAATTCGCGGAAGTTAGTTATATTTTTATCTTTGTTTGCGACAAACTTATAATTGGAGAAATAAATTCTTTCTTTAGTCAATTTTACATGCTGCTATGATAGTTTTTTAAACATTATTCTGATTGATGAAATGTCAGTCAAAAACTCAAATTTTACTTTTCTTTTGTCAAGAAATCTGGCCTTTGAATTGAATTACGAATACTGTTCGAAATAAAACAAAGAGTGATCCAGCTATTTAACTTGAACCTGTCACCTATTGTAATATATCACCAAGTTTTGCTTATAGTCAGGTGTTTCTGTGACTGATGTATCCCAAAAGGTGCAAAGCTAGCCTCGCTTCGAGTTTTAAGTTCATTAGTATTTAATAGTATAGAGTCATAAGTGAGAGAGGCTTTTCAAATGAAATTTTCAAAAATTGTTTAATTTATTGTCACCACATTTCACTCGCCAATGTCTAATAGCGAGGTAAAAATTGTTTGAGATTACCCTGAAATCATGGTTTTTTTATTTAACATGACTCTTTGTGTTAGATATTCGTGTTCGTGGTTTGGAACTGCGATCAAAATAGACACTCTGAATGTGACAGTTCATCCGCCTTACTACTCCTCAGACAACAACTGTGTCAAAGGCATGGACTTGATAAACTCACACTCGATTGGACACGTGAAGAAAGTAGTGGAGAACATCTGGCTGAAGGAGATGCATCAACATTCGTCGTCCAACAATCACCGAACCACCTCCCAGCCCCAGCCCCAAACGCAAGTTCAAACCCCCCACCCCCAGCAACAACAACAAACAAATGTAAACAGCAAAAAGACAAACAATAACAACAGCAGCACTTCTGGTCAGACGAACAATAATGCAAATGCGAAGAAAACTTCAGCTGCGAATAACAATAGTGCGACTAGTTAAAAGAGGCTAACTATGAAGATTGGAGTCAGAAGTACCTAAAATGATGAACTATCTGGTTGGTATAATATGGCAGAAGTTTTGGGCAATGTAATAAAGAGGAAGAATGAAAACTTTTCCACATTTGTTCAGGCGATTGCTCAAGTGATGTAGTTAACAATGATGGTGTGAAATAGTCGGCGAGTGTTCTCTAACCATCTTTCATGTATCTTCTTATCGTCACATGTTTAACCCCTTGTACACATAATTGGATGTCTTGTCTTGATACTAAGATGTAATCTAAATCTAAATGAATCAAGCTCATAGCCAATTTTAAATAACCAAAATATGATCTACATGGATTACATAGAAAAAAGTGCGAGTTTGAAACATATTAGATTGGAGTGTCATCGTTTCTTCGAATTGTAAATGAAAATTGCAGCAGATTTGAGTGTGTAATAAATTGTGTTCAAAGAAGAATGAAAGTGATAGAGTTTTAAAAAGTTAAAAAATGATGTCAAGATTCCACCTGTTATATTATTATTATGCCTTCGTTATTCTGCACAGCTGGCGTGAAAATATAAATAATAGTAATCAAGAGGGGAGAAAAAAATCGAAAAACTGTTGCAATGAAAAACTTAAGATCTCTGAAAACTAAAACTTTTTTATCGCAATTAGATATGTACGAAGAATGATAAATTTTGAAGTACGCTTTTTTTCGAATGAAAGTTTACTATGGAATGTATTATACCTAATATTTTCGCTGGTCAGTTGTGCCAAATTTATGTCTCCGTTACAAAGTTTCTGATTTTGTAATTTGAAATAAATTTTTATCTCCTCTTCTTGGGTTTGCTACGGCAATTGTGTAGCGTATAAGGCTGTTGCAAGTCGTTTCAAGGGACATTATTTGGTACCTTTGTTCCATTGTTGGGTTACAGAGTGAAGGCTATTTTCTTCGAAAATCTCCTACAGCGATAGAATTTTAGCAGAATCGTTTCATGGTCGTTTATCAGTGCTCAATAATGAAATTGCCGAGATAGCAAAAGATTAAAATTCCGGCACACGCCAGTGTGTAAAGGCATTAACAGATCTGGCGATGTTGTAAAAATCATAGTTTCAGCACAACTATTTTAGCTATAATTCAATGCAGAAACCATTAAAGGAAATTTGAGCGTAGATTATGTCTAGCGATCGTATTTTCTTTTTGAGAGTAATGAACGTAGTGAGTACTCTTATATAAGTCTTGCTGATTTTTGTTTTTTTTTTGCTTCAGGAAAAAGTCTTAAAATTTGTTCACGCTCAATTTTGATTTTTTTGCGGTTTGACTTCTGATTTTGGAAATGAAGGTCAGTGTATTTCCATTGTTAAAAGGAAGGCAAAATCCACTATCGAACAGCAAAAGTGTATTGGTCACAAAAAACGTGATCGACTTCTGATTTCGAAAATGCAAATTAATTATCAAATTTCCCAGCGAAATAAAAAATTTACGTGTTCATCCAATTTTCTCTAATTGGGTTATTTTTAACAAAAAAGTATCCATCATAAATTGTTTTTCAAATTCAAAGAGCTTTATGGCCATCTATTTTTTTCTTCGAAATTCAAAAGTTGAAGCCTCTTTGAGTTCATTACTCTTTTCCAACAGTTGGTTGGCTATCTTTTCTTGTTTTTGAAACTATACGAAGTTGGAGCTTACGATACCTTCAATGTTGGGCGAATATAAAAAATTTTGTCGAGTTTTTACTTAATCGAATGAAAAAATTTTTGTATTCTTCCTGAAAGCAAAAGTTACGTTTCATGGAATTATTCATATATGATAATGCAGGGTTTGAAAACACATTGAGAGCTGGAAAGTCATTAAAGTTTAAAAAGTGGTAAAACCCAAGTTTTCCAAGAATACGAAGGCGGCAGTAAGAGAGTTATTGTTTCAGTTTGCAGCTTTTTGACAAGGTTTTTGTCCTATTTTATCCCGGCTGAATGGGCCACTCTCTATTGGCCCTGCTTTTAAGTATCTCTGTTTTCGATAATGTTTTTCAGGAGATGGATATGGAGGGTTTTTACTTCAAATTTAACAAATTAAACAACCAAAACCAAACAGTTCTTACAAATAATTTTTCCTTGTTTCAAATTCGTTCCGCTGAGCCGTTCGCTTGAATTATTGATGAAATGCTGTAGAGTCTCTGAAACAAGTTTATTTTTTAATTTGATTGTTTTTTCATCAAATTTCGATCAAAGCGGTATTTTGTTTTTTTTTCACCGTTTTTCTCCCGTTTTGCAGACTAATGACAGGAAATTAACAAATGACACGATGAGAGACTGAACTCTTGTTTAAATTCTGGTAGAATTCGTCATTATGTTAACTGTTTTTGCAGCTGATATTTGCAGCTTTTTAACTAATTCGATTGCCCTTAACTAGGCAGAAAAACTTCTACTAAAATTTTTCTTGTGTTTTTTAAAGAGTCGATGAACGTAGTTAAGACTCTTGTACAGGTCGTGATGATTTTTTTTGTTTTTTTTCCAGGAAAAGTCTAAAAAATATTGTTCAGGCTCAAATTTATTTTGTTTTTGTTGTTTGACTTTTGATTTCATTTCAAGTTCACTTCATTTCGTTAGTCAAAAAGAAGGCGAAACTCACTATCGAACAGCGAAGTGTAAAATTCATGAAAAAACGTGACCAACTTCTAGTTTCGATAGTGGAATTTAATTTTCCGATTTACCAGCGAAATAAAAAAATTTATTTATTGGTCCTGTTTTCTGAAAGTGAGCCAATTTCATCAAAGTGTCAATTATAAATTGTTACAGAATTTCAAAGAGCTTTCAAGGTATCTAATTTTTTCTTTGAATTCGAGAGTTGAAATTTCTTCAAAAAACGATTCAATATATTTTTTGTTTACTTGCTTTCATTGACTCTTTTCCAACTGTCTTATGGCTATGTTTTTTCAGGAAAGAGTCTTGAGTTTGCTCAGGCTAAAATTTGATTTTTTGGGGTTTGAAATTTAATTTCTTAAGTTCCGTTCATTTCCTATGTTTAAAAGGAAGGCAAACTCCAATATCGAACAGCAGAAAAGGTAAAAGTCGCAAAAAACGCCATCGACTTCTAGTTTCGAAAGTAGAATTTATATTTATCGAAGTAAAATGATTATTTTTTGATCCAGTTTTCTGGAATTGAGTCAATTTCTTCGAAAAAGTGTCAGTCATAAATTGTTCTAGAAATTTAAAGAGCTTTAAATGCATCTTTTTTTCTTGGAAATTTGAAATGTTTTAAAAAAAAACAAGTCCGTATTTTTTCTGTTTTCTTGCTTCATTGACTTTTTCCATTTCTCGGTTTGACTTTTGATTTCTTATTAAGTTGTTCATTTCCTTTGTTTAAAGGAGGGCAAACTCCACTATCGAACAACAAAAGTGCAAAGGCCATGATAAACGTGATCAAGTTTTAGTTTTGAAAGTAGATTTTAATTTGCTGATTAACCAGCGGAATAAAAAAATCACCTATTGATCGTTTTCTCAAATTGGATTCATTTCGTCAAAAAAGTGTCAATCATAAATTGTTTTCGAATTTCAAAGAGCCTTAAGGACACTTTTTCTTTGATATTCAAAATCTAAAGTTTTCAAAGTCATTCTTTTGTTTCCTTGTTTTCATGACCCTTTTCCAACTGTGTTGGCTACGTTTAGAGGCTGGGGCAACACAGCCAGATTGTGCTTCATTTGTTACTCGCACAACGACAGGTGTCTCTTGTTGAGACATATTTTACCATATCTACCTTACAACTTTTGATGTCATTTCAAGAAACTGGCCATATATGTTTTGTTCATGTTCCTTAAGGATGTCTCTCCGCCTATTCCCAAAAAGATGTTAACCAATAAAAACGAGCTTTTACTTTGCAGAATATAAATAAATAGCAACGACGATAAATTATTGGCTAGAATCAGTTGTCAAACAAGTTTGTGAAGCGTAACAAACAGAAGCAAAGGATGCCGATTATTAGTTCTTCAAAGTTGTGCGAAACGATACCCAAGATGAAAGCGTTTTCCATTTCCATTCCTCGCAAACAGTGCATAGCCGAGGACACCAGAAAGTAGCCAGTGGTAGCTTCTCCCATCCATAGCAAACTTATGACCGCCTCAGCTGAGGAGTAATCTACAAAAGGAGGGTTTGGACTCCTCAATGCGACAAGGAATAAAAGGGTACAAATAACTAGATGTAGAATAAGAATAATAACAAATGTGATGAACTTTTGTATGGGTTTGAAATGGCTCACAATGCCCATAGTCGGAAGACAGAATCCCCAAAGAGACACTGAGAGCGTATAGCATCTTTGACTATAAGGGAGTGAAGTGTATGTGAAGAAAGAGGGAGAAAATGTGAACAAGTTTCCACCTGCAATTACCAACACGATCCACATGAAATACTTGTGTGCGTTCTTGCTCTGAACTTCCTGGAAAAACCAGTTGAAACTCGCAACGGGTGCTGCTTTGCTTTGACTGGTGGCTAGCGAATTATTAGCAGATCCGAGGCTTAAAAAGTTAAAATGTCGTTCCGTTTTGTTCTCTCGTGAGTCATCGCTCGTCATTTTGAACTTAGTTTGGCTCAGAATCAAGAAAATTGTAAAAGCAATGGTAGAACTGATGTAAATAGCGGATAGGCAACTCAATGCAGCTGTTGGTCCGAAAATAAAATCGGTTGACATTGAAGGTTCGAAGGAGTCATCACTAACATTGGCTGTTGATCCTTTTGTTTCTTCCCTCGTTTTGAAAGAGTTGGAATCGTTGAAATTGATTCGGGCGCCCTGGATGTAAGACATAAGAGTGGCTATGAATCCCCCCGAAACTTCTCCGACTAGAATAGCAGTGACAAAACTGGCGGGAAAGTCGCGCTCAATCCAGGAGAAGAGAAGAGTTCCTCTCAAGCCGTCTAGAGCGAGAAGAACGAAACTAGTCGACATGAAACCGAAGCTGATGTCGTGTCTGAGGTGTCCCCATCTGTCGGCAATAGTCTTATCCCACAGAAAAATTAGGGCAATGCTGAAAACAAGACCAAAAAATAACATAAAATGAGAAGACGTTTCACCCCGATTTTCATGCATAAAGGTACGAGCACAAGAGAAATATTGGAAAGACCGCTCATGAGTCCAAAAAATACGCCCAGATCCCAGCCTTCGGGTAGATAAGGAAGCATAAATGGTAGCTGAATTGTTAAGGAGTCTGTATACTGCCAGGTTCCGATTGAGCTCCAGTAGAGAAGCGAGAAAAATGTCGTTTCTTTGTGCCTCACAAACCATTCGTATATCTGGGAACTCGGCATGACTGCCAAGATATATTTCTTCTCGGAGTGTTTATAATTGTGTTAATAATTTTTAAAAATGTATAAGATTGGACATCTAGCTAATCATGTGTTTGAGAGGGGTCATGCTTAGATATTCTTATCTGATGGCTGTTTGAATGAAACCAAACACCAGTTTAAACAATTTGATCGAATATTGAATTCGAAAATGAACTCAATTGTTTAGTTTGAATGACAAGGAGACGGGTGTGCTCTAGACAATGAACTTAATGAGGCCCAGTCTACTTCCATGCGTGACGCTTGGCGTGCGGCTACTACCGCAATTAAATTGAATTTTCTTCTCATTTTTGCAACCTTATTTCAAATTGA